CGGGTATAGGCAAGGTAAGACGTAGGAGAGGGAGGGAGGAAGAATGGGTGCAAAGGGAGCATGAGTAGGGTATGACATGGGCAGGGGGCACAGGGCATGCGAACAAGAGGGCGGGGCAGGTTCCTCTTACACTGGAAGCTGAGGTGCTTGCCGTGACCTGAATGTTAAATGGCTTGGATTATGCACTCTCGCCTGGCCTGGCACCCGCGCTTACCTGGCCGGAGCTCGCTCGGCCCCGGGAACGTTATTTGGGTGGCGGTGGTAGGCCTATTTGGTGTAATTTGGCGCCGCTCTTGTTGGTATTTCTTTCGGAAGTATATATTGCGGTTGAAGAGGTTTGGTGGTTTATTTTCGATTTTTTTTTTTTTTTTGGGGGGGGGGGTGAGTGAGTGAGTCTGAAAGAAAGAGAGAGAGGGAGAGACAGAGACAGAGACAGAGACAGAGAAGGAGAAAGAGAGAGAAACAAACAAACACAGGAAAACAGACAGACAGACGCAGACACAAACAGACAGCTCTACCCCACGCCTTTATCCCCCTTATCCCCCGGGAAGGCCGTCCGCGCTCGGCGACACGGGAATCCTAAGCAAGACATCCTCCAGGAGCTCGGTCCTCCAGGAAGCCTTGTCATGACGCCATTGTTATTCCGCCGTGGCATTCGCGTCATACGGCCAGGTTCTCTCAAGGGCACGGCGGTGGCGGCTCCCTTGTCCCCGGGACACTGCCGTCTCATCCTGTATCATCCTGCGAGTACTCATCCTATATTTACGCACGCTCCTCTTCCTGCTTCTTCTCCTTTCTTTTTTTCTTCCTTTTCTTCTTCTCTATCTCCTTCACCAGCACCGTCTCCTCCTCCTCTTTCTTTTTTATGCTCTCAATTACATCACTCGTCACCTCCCACTGTTTTTATAAGGAACATCTCTCTCTCTCTCTCACACTCACTCACTCACTCACTCACTCACTCACTCTCTCTCTCTCTCTCTCTCTCTCTCTCTCTCTCTCTCTCTCTCTCTCTCTCTCTCTCTCTCTCTCTCTCTCTCTCTCTCTCTCTCTCTCTCTCTCTCTCTCTCTCTCTCTCTCTCTCTCTCTCTCTCTCTCTCTCTCTCTCTCTCTCTCTCTCTCTCTCTCTCTCTCTTTCTCTCTCTCTTCTCTCTCTCTTTCTCTCTCTCTCTCTCTCTCTCTCTCTCTCTCTCTCTCTCTCTCTCTCTCTCTCTCTCTCTCTCTCTCTCTCTCTTTCTCTCTCTCATGCAGGGAATCCTTCTTGGTTTTCATCTTCCTGCTAACACGAGCGAGTCATCACACTAACGAGTATAGCCTACACACTTACGCAGGCGACATGTTGGTCACACTTTGTTTTCTTCTCTCTTCGGTAATTCCCTTTTTAGGGAAAATTACCAGCAAGCATAACACGTTTTTGGAGTGTTATTTGTTGCGGCTGAATAACACTGACGCAACTTCTGTCTCGGGAATTTTCCATTGCAGGCAAGGTGGTAGAGAGATAAAGTGTGAGTGAATATACATGTGAGAGTGAGTGTGAGTTTGAGAGTGAGTGTGAGTGTGAGTGTGTGTGTGTGTGTGTGTGTGTGTGTGTGTGTGTGTGTGTGTGTGTGTGTGTGTGTGTGTGTGTGTGTGTGTGTGTGTTTGTAAGTATGAGAGGAAGTGTGGGTGTGAGAGTGAGATTGATCCAGAGTGAATGAGTGTGAGTGTGAGAGTGAGCCTGAGTCAGAATGGAAGTTTGTGGGAGCTTGTGAGATTGAGAGTGGCTATGAGTGTGAGAGTCGGAAAATAACACAAAAATATAATATTAAGGGAGAGAGAGAAAAGATCAATGATGAAAAAGAACAAAAAGAAGTAGAAATGCAGAAATAGGAGGGAAGTGGAAAGAAGAAAGTAAAGAACACAGACAGGAGAAAATGTGAAATAGAGAGAGAAAGAGAGTAAGAGATAGCATAGAGGGAAGGTGTGAAATGATGGAAGAAAAGGAGAGAGGGAAAGAGAAAGGGAAAATATAAAGAGAAAAGGAGAAAGAGAGAGGGGGGGAAGGGAGAGGATGGAAAAAGGAGAGATTGAGAGGCCATAAAGAAAGAGAGAGTGAGAAAGAGGGAAATAGGGGGAAAGGGAGAGAGTGAGAGGAGCGGAGAGTAAGTGAGGGAGGAAGGAAGGGAGGGACTGTAGAAAGGAGATATGAACAAGGAAAAAGAGACTGCGTAAGGTCTCCTTTATTTTTATTATCCACGACAATGAGTTTTGTGAATTATAACCGTACTAAAACCGAGGGAATTCTCCGTAACGGCTGTTTGTGTTTTTTGTGTGTATTTTATGCGCTTCATTTCACTCTTTCATTACAGTCATCTTCTTATGTTTTGAAGTTGATTACATTGCGTTATGGCAGTCACTTCCGTCCGTTTTTTTTTATTCTCACTATTGCGAATTATTCTCATTTTCACTTTCATTGTTTGTTTGTATTTTAACGCAGTCGGGATTTGACATCATTCGTCTGCATGCTATACCCTGTCCCAGTCATTATTTTACTTGTGTTGCAGTTCCCTGAAAATGAATTGCAAGTGAAAGCTGTATATTTATATCTTGCATGGTAAGTCTTACCCAGCGCTCCACTCCCTACTCACCCCCACACCCCACACTTGACCCCTAACCCACCCTACCCCCTCCCCTACACCCACACCCCCACAAGGCCGAGATGGGCCACCATGAGCCATGAGAACAAGACGCCGACCATGCCATGACCTGTTCTGGGCCGTGGCTGTGCCTGGTGGCTCAGGTGCTCGCTATTCAGGTGTGTGTTGTGCAATCTCACATCTCGCCCGGTGATACATGCTCGCCTTCGGGGGCTGGGCGAGAGGAGAAGGAAAGTGAAGGGAAGGGAAGGAGACAGACGGCGAGGAGAGAGGCTGGGAGAGAGGAGGGGAGGATAAACGAGAACAGAGAAGAGGAGATGAGAGAGGAGAGGAGAGGGGAGAGTGGGGAAGAGAGGATGGGAGGGGAGAGGAGAGGAGAGGAGAGGAGATGAGATGAGATGAGAGAAGAGAAGCGAGGAAAGAAGATGAGACGAAATATGAAGAGAACTGACAAGAACAGACACGAAAAGGCGAAAACGGGCAAAAAAAAGTAGGAAAGGAAACGGGGTTAGAGGAGGGAATTTAAGAAGAGGAAAGAAAAAGGGGAAGAGTAGAGAAGAGTAGAGAAGGGGAAAGAGAAGAAGAAGGGGGAGAACAGAAGACAGTAGCGAGGATGATAGTGTGCTGTGCCGTCGTATTCTCGTCAGCGAGTGTGTGCGTCGTGTTCCTAAGAGTGAGGCTGTGTTTATGTTTTCATGAGGGCGACGCTTCAGGTATGAGGCAGGCAGGGTAGAGTGTTGCGGTCTGGGTATTGCTATTTTCGAGATACAGCGTGTTGGCTGTGGTCATTATGAAGCTTTGTTTTGCATACACTAAAGAGATTATGTTGTATTTCTCTTATATATGTATATTTTATTCAAATCGCACTAGCATTCTGTCTGACATCGGGTTCTGTTTTCAAAGGAAAATCTTTGTCCTCGGCGAAGAGCGGCACATATATGTTGGCACGAATTAAGTATCCTGTGCGACGGAGACGTGACTTGCGCCTAGTTCTGTGTATCAGGGACGAATAATGTTATTCATCGGAGCATTTTACTTAGAAAAGGGTTGTGCGTCGCAACTTGAGCTCTCCGACAGGACGCGAGGGTAAGGGCTTTGGCGGAGGTCGTGGGTTGATTGTCGTTTCTTATGTCGTCCGTATTGTAAATGCTTGTTTCTTATTCGCTTGCCTTTGGTTTCATGACATTGCCATGTTCGTGTTTTGTAAGCTGGAATCACGTATATTGTCATTGTGACACACCCCTCGTTCTTTGGTATTCTTATCTGCTTGCAAGACACGAGTTTCTTCCTTCTTCCTTTCACCCTCCATCTTTCAACCGGCCCCGCTCAGCTGCCGCCTGCTTTCCATGCTCTGTTACTATGGCTGCCCAAATCGCATGTAAAACATCTCTCAGGCTGCTAACAACCCATATCTTACAAGCTGTCGCCGCCTTCATTCTTGTATTAGAATGTACCGGATTGTAAACAACCAATCTGCAGGGTCAGAGCCTAAGATTGGGGTTTACCAGACTTGAAAATATATTTAGAACCAGACTGGCACACTTATAATTTCTCGTAACGCACAAAGTACCGTCACGTCCATTCGTAACTACAAATTACCTGCAGGTGCTTGCAGGTCCGTGTTCATCTTGCGCCAGTTCAGAATTGCATAGCGCTTCGCCCCCTTAATGGCAACACTCCCATCAGCCTCATTAATATCTGTCGTGATGCAATATGTCGGGGCAAATGATGTAACGAGTAGCGGGCGGTAACAAGCGGCCACAGACTGATTCTCTCAGTGTCGAATAAGTTCCGCTTAAATCAGGTAATAACAGTGCTTAATGGCCCTGTCTTCTTTGCAAATGCATTGACTTTTGTTGTATTACCGACTGTTTCAGTAATGTAATATTATGATAGCGAAATTTGTGCTCCAGTCACTACAGTTTTTATGCCGTGTGTACGTACTCCTTCCCTCCCGTCGAGTACAGTTTGGCCCATCTCCTCAGTCCAGGTGTGGCGTGTTCGACCAACATCGCCTCCATGGATCATACCCGTTCCGTCTCCACTGGATCACGCCGGAATGGGGAGTTATCGATGTAAAACAAATGGCGGATAATTTGTTTTACATGAGGCCGTGTCTTGGCCGGGTAGCGTTCACGCTCGACCCAGTTCGGGAGTCGCCTTCGTGCTCGGCGCTCTTTGGCTCCAGGTGTCCGCGCCGCACGCTAGCGTTGTACTCGCGTTTCTGTTATGTACACACGCTGTAACAAGTCGTCGGCGCGATAACAACAGGAAGGTAGATGACGATGGGTTAGGGCGAGGGGGCCGTGCGGTGGCAGGGGG